TAATCTGGGACAATACTTCATAGAAGCTAAACACCCTCTTACACCTTAAACTCCATCCATCTGTTGTATAGTTTGTTTAAGATGGTGGAAAATCCATGAGCAGTGTTTTAAGTTCCAGGGCTGGCATTTCCTCCTTCTCACTCCCAGATGAATTTATCACCTCTGTTTCTCTCCCCTCAGAGGAGCAGGCAGGAGCTTTGACCATCTTGGGCAACTGTTTCACGGCTTCTCTCTTAGATTTCCATCCCTTAGAAGAGCTCTTTGACCTTATCTGAAATTTGGGAGTTTCATGTTCTATGCAGGGAAGTCACTTCCCCTATATTCTGTCTCTGCTTTCCAGCTGCAAACTGGAGACAGTGAAGCTAACCCAAACAGAATATTTTGAGGCTGATGCTGACATGTGCTACGTGAAAGCTAGCTGTCATAATTTTATTTTCAATGTCATATATGACTTAGCTGCAGAAGAAAAATCATTACTTATTTTCTGTAATAGTATATGCTCATACTTCAGTAAAATAATGTTTTTGAGAACAATCTCAATGTGTTTTGTTATCAAAAATTATCTAAATTCACTAATATTTATTAATTATTTCTTCTCCTACAAATCTTTCTTTAGCAATTGGAACTCTGTCAGAGATTATATAAACTGCACTTCCAGCTGCTGTTGCTTTTTCAGTCCTACTGTAAACTTATTGGACAAGTGCACGAAGTGAGTTCTATGCCAGAGGTATGTAACAAAGTCCCATGCTGAAAATTCCACTTTATTTTCATGTTCTTATTTTTCCTTTCTCTGGACTTAACAAGGATCCCACTATTTCACACTGACTATAAATCTGCAGGCATACATAATCAACTAAATACCTTGATGTCCTGCATTTTTAATTCTGTAATGTTTACAAACGTTTTTCTTTAAATATTTTGACATGGCACACTCTCTTTTGACCCAAACGGCTTTTTGTTTTTAGATAAATCCATTAATCTTACTTCAAAAAAATTCACAAGAACATTACTGTTAGTCACGTTTATTTTCAGCAGTTGCTTAAAATATGTAATACTTTGAAACGTCTTTGAGGTGGTCACTTTAAGCTGAATGATTATCATTTAAGGAAAGATTTAACTTACCATTCCAAAAATGTATATATTTTAAACTATTGAGGAGAAGAAGTTGTTGTTGTAGTCTGCTTTGTAAAATAAAATTTGAAGGTATTACATGTATTTTATGACATATTCTAGTAGTTTAGATATGGCCTATAAAAAGAAATTGTTTTATCAGATGTGCTGTCAGAGTAAAAAGAGTTTGAATATTTATTGTATCTTAAGGACACAATCAATTGTATGTTGTGAAGGCTGCTCACATTGTGACTGGGCTGTTCACTTTTAAGAGAAGACGGGACAATAGGCATCTACTACTACTAGAGCAGTATAAGTTTTAAAAATATTTTTTATTTCTTATAATTGATTTCTGTAAGTGTTTTTCACAGTTACAACTTTGCTAAATTGTTATAAATAATGCACTCCATGGAACTGGGAAACAATTGTACAAATAGCTATTTCACCATGACATTTGCATTTTTTGCTGGAGACGTAAGCTATTACTTGAAGAAAATTCCATTGTCAGTTCATGTGACAATGGTTATTTTTAACATGTAGGAGCATGAAAAAGTAGATCCTTGGAAATTATTAACTTACTAATTATTTACAAATCTTGTGCCATATTAACTTTTCAGCCTGAGAAATGGTTATACATTTCTTCTCCATCTGTTAATCCTGTCAGATGCTGCATGTGTTTTGTAAATACATATCAACATCTTGCTAGGAGAAATACCTGTTTTCTTCAGCTCTTCCACTATGATGTGAAAAAAGTAGCAAGGGTGAAAAACAAAAGCTTGTTTAGATATGCTCCTGCATTTTAGCAAGCCAAAACTACAGCATAATGTTAAAGGATGCACAAAGGTAAACAGAAAACAAATCTGTAGTTTGCTTTTTCTCTGTATTGTACAGAGATCAAGAAATGTCCTTGTATTAAACTGGGGTCTTTTCCATAATGTGTACATCCAGTGTAGTAGTAAGGACAAACTTGAAGTATCTACTCCATGTGGGGCTTGTGGAGAATGAAAATACTCATCTCTTATTTTTCTCCTTGGAACAGCTGTTAAATATGTCAAGAGAACTGAGTGAGCTGAAGAAAAATCTGAAGGATGCTACTGCGGCAATCGCAGCTGAGCCTCTGACAACCGAATCTGAGCCCTCATTCAACTCTACTGAAGCAGCTATTCAGTCCATGCTGGAGTGTTTGAAAAACAATGAACTTGTTAAAGCTGTCAGACAAATAAGAGAATGCAGGCAAGTTTTGCTACATGGTTCATATTAGACTTTCATGTTATTAGAAAAGTATGCATTTATTATCTTCCTAACTAAAAGTAATGCACAGGATCAGCGTAATTAATTAATTGTTTCAACAAGGAACATGGGGGCATTGATACTGGCTTTTGGGGAGGTGTGCCACAAGTAACTATCAAACATATGCTTGCAACAATTAAGATGTTTAATTACATTCTGTAGATCAAAAGGCCTGTGAGGCTCTTAAGAATCTTTATTGAGTTAATTCCTTACAGGTGCGTGTCACTGGCATGAGCTAACATTCAGCCCAGTTTCACTGACACCTATTTGAATGAGATTTCTTAAGCATTTTTTTAGATAATGGAAATTGCACTTTTATGTGTATTCAGTGCCTGATACCAGCATATGAGTAATAAATGAGTGGTGTAAAACAGTGAGTTGCTTTAGGCTTATAAGCATGTGCAAGTCCATTCTTCTTTTATAGTTCTCTGTCACATAGCTCTTCTCTCTGCTAATAAACCCATAATGAAATGCCTGTTCTTTTCCTATTTCTTTGCAGGATTTTGTGGCCCAACGATATCTTTGGAAGCAGCTCTGATGATGAAGTCCAGACACTACTGAATATTTACTTCCGCCACCAAACCCTGGGTCAGACAGGCACCTATGCACTGGTGGGCTCCAACCAGAGCCTGACTGAAATCTGCACCAAATTAATGGAGCTGAACATAGAGATCCGCGACATGATTCGCAGAGCTCAGAGCTACCGGGTCATCAGTACTTTTCTTCCAGACTCCAGCGTTTCCGGCACAAGTCTCTGACAGGACCCTTGGGCCCCCTTTCAAGCTGGGAGTGCTGCCCTGTGGGAGTGAGGTGGCTCAATGTCTTCTCAGCCTTACAAAGGTTTGGTCAAACTGTACTCGCTCTTGTTACATTTAGGATTTCCTCTAAAAAGCGATGGGCTGAACTTCAAACACATAGCAATACTGTAAGGACAGAGGTAGCATAGAGCATCTGGGACAGCATCCTTTGTTCTGTGTTGCACAAAAACCAGTTAGCATTTCACTAAGCAACTGCAACTCACTACTGAAGAAGTGACTTCCATTGCATACCAAAGCCTACTACACTGAACAATACTTCCTTTATAGCAAATTAATTTTTGGTTGGCAAAAGTGCAATGTTTCCTTCACAAAATAGTATTTTTTGTTAAAAAACAAACCTTGTACATTTTTTCCTTTTTTTTTTCCTATTTAGTTGAGTGAAAGATGGGCAGAATGAAGCTGGCCACGGAATCTCACAAACTTGTTGGTCAAAAGCTGAGAGCCTGTGTATATGAAACAGACTGTAAACAGACTACAATTTAATGTACACTGTAATTGGAATATGATTACTGTATCTTAAAACAATGAGCTGCTATGAAGTACATTTCCTAATGTTACTAGGCTACTGTCTCTGAAGGTACTGGATCATATTGTAGAGGTCTGTTCTTAGGCCCCCCCAAGGATCATGAAAGGTCTTGATAGATTTTTTTTTTTTTTTTATTAAGGACCTTGGCTGCTTTTTACTAGAGGTTTGCTTTTATGAATATATTTATACTATTAAAGGATGGTTGATCTAATTTAACTTGCCATTTTGTAGGAGAAAGTTCCATCATAGAGTCAAATCTTTTGAACTGTTAAGCATGCATATTTTTATTTAATATAAATTTTGAGTATAAAAAGTAAAAATATTAACGTGAAATGCAAGTTCTCATGTTAAATTTCTTCAAAGAGAGGTCTTATTTTATTTGTAATGTATATATGAAAGTCATGATTATATAGTTTTTTTCTTACATTTAACTGCTGTCCAGTGTTAAATGTATGCATGTAAATCTGTTGCACATCTGAGACACTTTTATTCTGACAACTATGTAACTTATTCACACTGTAAATACACTTAACTGTTTTTGTGAAGTAACTTTGAAATTTGGATCAGTACATCCATTTAACTAAAGTATAAAAGTCATATATGGTCACAACACAGTATGTGCTTGTTGTGAAAATTGTATTCTTGTCTGAATCAGTACAGTTGCACATGGTATCCGTGATCAGCAGCCCCCCAAAAGATACCAGTCTCCTGGTTTATGCTGAAACCATTCATAGAAAATAGTGAGAAATGTAACTACAGCCTGACAAAAAGATCCTCACAATGGAGCGTGGAAGACTACAACAGCAAAAATAGTTTCACTGGTCTGTGAAAGCCTCTGAACTTCCTTCTTCCCTAAAGAGTGTTTTTTAAACTGGCACAGATAGTGCCAGCCAAAAGGGTTTCCCCTCCTCCTTTCAAACATGGGCAACTTACACCCTTTTCCCCACCTATTTTACAGCCATAGTCTTGTTCTGGCACATAGTCTTTGATTACCAAGCAGCTGTGGTTTTTATATATGCAGTTGACAGAGGCAGGGGGAAGACACATTTGCATTTACACCAGACTCTATGCTCCAGAACATTTGCATCGTCCACCCTAGTTCAGTTTGAGTGACTGAAGGAAAAACTTGCTATTGTAGCTTGAATGTTAGCATTCCCTGAAGACTTCAAAAAAAGTCTATATTTAGGAAATCAAATGGGTTGCTTCCTTACAGATCTACTTTCCTCTTTCAGCAAAGGAGACAAACTAAGGGGGTATCAAACTAGTGCAGACTTTTATTGAACTTCATTTACAGCCTATATACAGTGAAATTACATACTTTAAGTTATTATACTTTACAATAACACCAAAGTCTTCATCCATTATCCAATGCCAGGTCAAAAGCCTTAAGTCAAAACATTGCAATAGACAAAGTGCAAAGCACAAAACACAAAACGGGGCATGGATCAGACAACATATTTGAAGCTGTAAGTGCTATCACAGGACAGCCTTTTGCCCTTGCAGCGGCCACAGAGTTCTTGGCGATGAGGTCTCTTGAGATCAATATGTCTCTTCCTCTGAGGGCAAGAGCAACGAGTCTTGGAACAGAGCTTAAGAAACAAAGACACGTTAGATGTAGTAGATGAAAGAGGATGCACTTCATGTTAGACTAACCTTTGGTTTTCCTTAATAACAGCAACATATTGGGGCTGATATACTTGGGAACTCTTGTGGTAAAAAAACCCTGTGGATTTAAGGTGTAAGAGCTTTCTATCCTAGAAGCACAAAACCCTACTATACATGCAGCAAGCCATAATGTTCTACGAGAACTCTTCAGGTGAGCCATCCATGGGAGGAGGGAGGCCCACCCCAAGACACATTTCCCAAATAACATTTCCTAGAGTTTTGATGAAATAAATTTTTCTTCCAGATAAAGTCAGTATCAAACTCAACAATAGAAATAGTGTATGTGATAACATCTGACAGTCTTAATTGAGTACAGTTAACTTACCTGGCACTGGATGGTTTCCACTCGATAGGGATTGAAGCCCTTTTGGCATTTGCGACAGAGCTGCTTGAAGTACACCTGAAAAAAAGGCAAGTTCTGTTAGTATAGAGACTTATTCAAGGTGTTCTATACAGGCACCTAAGTTTGTGCCAAAACATCTGATTTGTCAGAGACTTTATGCCATTCTTACAAGTCTCAGGAGAAAAATTACTTGTTAACTACCTTGTTGCTTCCAGAAATGCACCACACATAAGCACTCTCCCATCTGGTCTTGCAGTCTTTGCAGTGGAAATAGCCATACTTCTGCTCCAAGAACTGCAGAGACAGAGTTCACTGAGCATCCTCAAGCAGCCTGAGAGCATCCAGCCCCAGGATACTACTCCCCAAGGATGGTGAGACACTGAAAAAGGTTGCCCAGAAAGCCATATGGAAATATTTGAAGCCGTAGTGAATGGGGCTCTGATCAACAGAGTCTAGTGGGTAGCATCCCTACCCACGGAAGGGAGGTTGAACTGGATGATCTTTAAGGTCCCTTCTATCCCATTCTACCATGCTTTGATCCACACATGTGGGTTTTCACAGGCTGGAGGCTCTTCTGCTCTAGGTGAGACAGAGTCAGCCCGGGGCAGGACAGGGACCACAATGCTGCTCATAAGGTGATTTCTGGCCTCCCTGCTTGAGGGTTCGCCCCCCGCCCCATCCCGGCGCACCTGGAAGGCACCTCTCTGCCTAGGAGCCGCGGTCTCCTCCCGCCGCGTCCCCACCGGCTCCTGGCGCGGCGGCAGCGCGGCCCCCGCCGGGCCCTGCTGCTGCTCCTCGCCGCCGTCCGCCGTCGGGGTCTCCTCGGCCGGGGCTGCCTTCTCCGGGAGCGGCGCGGTGCTGAGCGGCGCGAAGAGGCAGCGCTCGGGCGCGGGTGAGTAGAGGGCGAGGCGGCCCGGGGCGCGCCGGCCCGCGGGGCTGAAGGCGCGGGCGGGCGGCAGCGTGCGCGGCCCCAGCGAGCACTGCACGGCCACGTCGGCCCGCAGGCTCACCTGCACCGCCGCGTCCTTCGTGCTGGCCCGGGGCGGCTGCGGCGCCAGCGCGGGGCCCACCTGCGACAGCAGCGCCTGGAGCTGCGCCCGCCGGTAGCTGTCCCGGTAGTCGGAGGGCAGCGGCGAGAAGGGCCTCCCGAGGAAGGGGCTGATGCTGCCACTCTTGCTCTGCTTCCAGCTGGGCTGCTTGGCCACAGCGTTCCAGCCGTGGCCGGACGCGGGGCTGCTCCTGAAGTTCTGGCTCTTGCAGAAGGGGGAATAGACAAAGCTATCCATGATTATCGCCGCTGAAGAGTTAGCTCTGCCTGTCTCCCTGCCCTGCTTTTATCTTACCTGGGGAGCTAATGGTGCTAATTGATGGGGAAAGGTGGGGGCTGTGGGGCTGATGGCAAGGGAAGGCCGGCCTGCCTGCCTTCCTTCTCTGCCAGACTCCAATGATGGAGAGATGTCATTCAGCCACAGCTGGGAAAACCATGGCCTGCGGAGCGAGGAGAAGCCTGCTTGCTCACAGTTCCTTCTGCTCATGGTCTTAAAAGAAGGAAAAGGGGCTTTGGGAAACTAACAAAACTGGGTGTCCCCCGAAGAGCTGAGCGAAGAATTCAGGCAATTACATCTCTGAAAAGAAGTCTTTACCAATATTAAAAGGTCAGAGCATCCCTATTCTTCATTACTTGGGGATTATCTAGCTGGAACATTTTCTGTCAACTGAACCGCTTTAGGAGAAGATGGAATATATGCCTGTATACAAAGTGAAGTAAGGGAAAGCAGTGGCTTAATATCTGCATATGTATGAATATATATATATATCTGTATCTATATGAAATAAGTGTTAATAATACAAGCAAGTAGTAAAAGCATGTGCATATTAGACTAATAGTCCTTCTTCCATAATTACATCACTTAGTTCAATTTTAAGGTAATACAGTTAAAATAATGTAAATCATCCAAGCTATGTATGTAACCCTTAAATCCCTGGAACTGCAGTGATGTGAAATCCTTTCTTTGTATGACTCCTCACCATCTTTATAAATGCATTGCTTTGTAAAATTCAATGGGCCAGCAAGAGAGAGGCTAGGGAAGACCTGAAAGGGTGATGTCTTTAAATGTTCACAGTGTATCTGACACTTTCCAGTGTCTGAGATAAATCAGTGAGAAACAGCATTTTTACAGGGCACAAAGAGGTTAAGATTCATGAAACATCCATCATAATTAAAAGAAACATATCTCAAGGCTCCACATTGTGCTTGGGTTTTCAAAACACTGTCGGTATCAAAGCACAAACAGGGTATTGATGTAGCCAAGTTAAAACTTAATGATTGCAATGTGGCTGCAAAAACAGTAAGTTTTTAAGGTGCTTTGGGAATGGGGATGGAAATCACATTGGAAACTACATGCCATCATTTAAACCAACAGTTTGAATTCCTCTAAAATGCTTTGGGAATAAAGTTACTGCAGCTCCCCAGAACACTGCAGAGTTAGAAGTTAAAGTTCCTTGTAAGGAGGATGAGGGGTATGGAAAATCATTGTAGGACAAGAAACTGATGAAAGTGACAGATGACTAAGCAGGTGATGTGATAGAAGTGCAACGTAAGGACTGGTGTGGAGAGACAGGAAGAAACCCCCTTATGGCACAAGAATAGATGAACATCCCACTAAAATGAAGACGGTAAACTCAAAGTTCGTGGTGGAGAGAGTGTTCCACACATTTTGAAGTTGTTCCATCACCAAAGCCAAGAATTTATTGAAGAGACAAAGCGGCAATGGACATGTATGTGGAGGATAGTAACATTCTCTTTATTAGAACAACATTTGGTCAACGATGGTCAACAACCAGTTCATGTGTCAAGGCCTACACCTGAGAAGCAGAGTCTGAGGCTTGCACAGTTCGCTTGCCCACAGCCCTGCCGCCGGGAGCCTTCCAGAGCCCTTTCCCGAGGGGTCGGTGTTAGCTGCTGTTGCCCAGCAACGCGGGCCATGTCAGCAGTGGATGTGGTACTTCATCCCCTCGCCTCTACACGAGTGAAGCTGCTGGCGGCCATCCGGGCTCAGGGCACGCACCCTTTCTGTTCTGTGCGTAGTCAGCCACGGCGGAACAGCCCTTGCGGCGGGCACCACGCGTCCCCCGGCCGCAATGCCGGGCCCCGCGCAGGGCAGGCCGGCGCGGCCGAGGCGGGGCCGCTTCGCCGCCTCCTTGCCGGGAGGCGGCTGCGGCGGAGGGCGGATGCTCCCGTTGCGCAGGCGCGGGGCTGCGTTGGCGCCAAGCTTCGAACGGGGCGGCCGGGCTGGGGGTCTGCGCTGCCCCCTCATCCCCCGCCGCTTTCCTGCGCGCCCTGCCCCGCTGCCCTGCGTGAGGCGATGCTGCGGCCGCTGCCCCGCCCGAGGCGCCGCCGGCAGGTAACGGCCCCGCGTGTGGCTCGGCCCTGCCCCGGGGCTGCGGTGTGCCCTGGGGGTGTCACTGCCGCCCCTCGGGCGTCCCTCCCTCTCCTCGCAGCCCGCCGGGGGTCCGCAGTCCCCGGGTGTGACGCGGTGAGGGGAAGGGGGGTTTGGGCCCGTCCCCGGAGACCCCGCGGTGACCCGGCGGGGCTGCACAGGCCGCGCTCCGTGCGCGGTCATTGCCCCGGAGGAGCTTCCCCTCACGGAAAGCAGCGCGGACTGGTCAAATCGCACTTTTTAAAATGTGCTTCTGAGACAGTGTTGGGTTCCTCGGTGTTCTGTCTTAATGCAGCCCGTAGCCTATTTTAAAGCGCCCGTTTTTCCTATGGTTTTGGTAAGGCAGCGTAACACGGCCGTCATGTGGGAAACGGGGTTTACTGTGGAAGGCATAGATGTGTTAAACGGTGAAGTCTCACTATGGGCTTATTATACATGTTTTTTTAATAGAATCGTGAAACTGGCAGTGTCTGCTCCACTTGAAAGCAACTTTGAATCAAATTCTTGACATGTAAGTTGTAGAGGTTGTTAGAGTATATATGTGGTAATACATATTTCATCCTAACACGTTGTAGTGAGTGTGAGGTTTTGATTTGTGTTTAAAATACCTCAGAAGTGTCCTGTCCATTCCATCGTGTCGTGTGTTTGCTGAGCGTCTTCATTATCTCCAGTATAGTTCCCTATGCTCTTGTCTGTTGTTTTCCCACCATGTTCATCATTGTGGTGTTTGACTGTTCACATCATAGTCAAAGCTAAACAGGCTGGGCTGTGGCACACCACAAAATGCAGGAAAGCCAGCCAAAGATATTCAAACAGCAGTGTATGAAAATGTTTTATTTCTTCTCAGGCTTTTCAACTGTTCCAGTAATGTCATGAATAAGAAAATGGCTTGCAAACCTGAGGAAAGACCAACTTTCTTTGAAATATTTAAGGCACACTGCAGTGAATCAGGTACAACTTATGTAAAGTAAATAATTCTTATTAGGATTGCTTTCTGGGCGCCAATATTTTATACATATTTGCTGTATGTTTCACACGAAAACTTTATGCAAGGTGTTAGCTGCTGTTCCTGCCCCAAACCTGTATTTCCTAATACCTAGATTTCTTCCAGTTTTTGTTTGTATTTTTTATCCATCATATATGCTTAGTTACTTTTTGTACTTGCTTTTTTACAGTTGTCACCTCTATACAAACCCACATGTAGACCAAGCTTAGTCTTTTCCTAGAGACACCTGTGGTAGTTAGTAATTTTAAAAGGAACTTGTTTAACTTGCCACTCTGAGCAAAACAAGAGAAACTAAAAGCCAGAGCATACTTGTGGTTTTAAACAAAGTGGATATTTTTCTGGACCTTTGGTTATTTTGTTAATGGTCAGAGAATCTGGGCAGACATCCCTTTATGTTCTGTGGTTATGAGAGTTCAAAGCCATCTAGAAGCAAGCAAACCAGAAGTATGGCAGTGGAAGGAGCGATGTGTTTTGCTGTTAGCATTTAAATGCCTGGTGTGTTTTCGCATCCTCCATGGAGGAACCTTTTTCCTTTTCATGTGGTTTTCTGTATGTTTTCCTTCGTAGATTTAGGGCCTATCAGTCTTAATTGGTTTGAAGAACTCAGTGCAGAAGCACCCCCGTATGAGCCCAAATCCTTCGGAGAGGCTGATGGGCCCTCTGGCTGGCTTGATCAAACAGCTTTTAAAACTCCAAGGACAAAACCCTCTGCGTACAGTCAGCTGGCATCAACCCCACTGCTCTTTAAAGAACAAAATGCAATATTGCCACATTCTTCTCCTGAAAAAGAGCCAGATCAGAAAAAAACAGGAGCGAGTGAGTAACTTTTTTTTTCAACCTTCTGTTGCAGCTGATGATCATTAATGTAATAGATAATGCTACTGCAGGAACTGTGGGACTAAAAAGCTTATTTTAATAGTCTTCTGAAGATCATCTATGAAAATGCAGAATTAATCTTAATAGTGGGTTCAGGTTGTGATAAACTGGTAATATATAAGCAAAATTCCCTGTATAAAAGATACTATTGTGGTCCAAGCATTCTAAATACTGTTGATATGAGGGAATATGAACGTAGTATAACCTGTTGACTGCAAATCAAAATTAATTTTTTTAGCAGTCTAGTTTTTTTATGCAGAAGTTTTGAAGCTTTTAAAGGGACAGAATCCTTTATCATGATGAAGTGTGAGGCAATATGTAGGGCACTCCTTAACCTTTCTTGAAAAGTTTTAGAAGCACCATGTCTTTGAGTTACTAAGATTATAAATTATAGAAAAACCTACATTTTTCCATTTGGAAAGAAAAAAAAAAAGAATTTTGTGAGGTATTTCTCATACATTATTTCCAAATCCCACGTACATCATGGGAGTACATGCCACTCTGCTCCTTTCTTCCTTGGACAGCAGGAAGAATCTTTTCTATAGAGAATGTATGCAACATTGTCTGTAAGAATCTCTTCTATGGAAGAGTATTTAACCCCATTCCTGAAGTATGTGATTGGTACATCTGCTGTGTCTGTGTCCTTCTGATAAGCTTTTCTAACCAGGTTACAGACAAACACAAGACTCCCTTGTTACCAGAATTGTTCTTAGATCCTGTGCAAATTCTGTGAAGGGTTAAAGCTGTGCTGCAGTTCAAGTATACTTTATAACACTACTTCCATGGAATACTGTAACTCTCTTTGTTTTTCTGAAGTTCACTGCTCAACTTCTGCTGAGAACATATTTCTTCTAAGTGTAGCTATTTGTATTTACAGTGTTAAGTCCCTAGGGAATTCCTGGTTTCAGGAATTTCATTTGGCAGTTTCATAAATGGCAAAGAAAGGAACCTTATGATTGTTTATTTCAAAATGGACCGTTTTGGTCTGCATATGTGCAAAGTTCATGTATGATTGCTTGAAGTATTCTGTTTTCTTGGTTAGAACCAAATGGCTCTTGTGAAAACAAGAGCCTGGATGGGAGCGGATGGATTTCATACCTCGTATGGTACTAGGATGCACCTGTGCTGTGCATATGAACT